GCCATCTCCCTTCCCTGCTGAACATGATTTTTTTTTTTTTAAGGAAAAAGGCAGAATTTTAATATCAGTACATGAGCCCCTTGACTGATTTTTATGTCGTATACAGAATAAAACACAGACATCTCACCTAGGCCTGCTGGGGTTTTCATGACCCAGCTGTGGGCTTCTGTTTTTTATTTTTTAGACTTTAATACAAACCCTCCTGTCTGGCCCTCCTTGCTACCCTTCAAATCCATGGCCTCTTCTCTCACAATTGTTATTGCGTACATGTGTGTATTAACATATACTTATACGTTCCTAAATACAACCTGTTGAGTCCATATACTGTTCCTTGTATGTGTTTTCATGGCGGACCATTTGGCCTGGACAACCAACTGTCGTGCTCGTCCTGATGAGGGCCACCCCTTCCATCTTCACTCAGCTGCCTGTAGTGCTGTGTGTAGTTGAGGCCCAGTGGGTCCACACCCACCCCTCTGGTTTGGCTTGGCCATTGGTGTCCCACTGCCCCCGTCTCCCTAGAGCCTTCTGCTTATTTTCATGCTGTGTCTCTGTGTCTCTCTGAATGTGAGACGTCTAAGAACTTCAGGTGGAGTCATCTTCACTGGTTTTCTCTCCAGTGCCCAAGACAGTGCTTGGCATACAGCGTACATACAATTAATATTTGCTAAAACAAAAACTGTTTATGACCAAATAAATATTGAATGTATTTCAAATACAGGACCCAAGACTTGATGCAGTGTAGGGAAATACCACAACTTAACAGGGATCCTCATGGCTCTGTGGGTGAGGGCACTTAGCACTGGACCTGTCCCGAGTTTGATCCCAGGGACCAACATCCTGGAGCAAGAGAACTGACTCCTGCAGGTTGTCTCCCAGCCTCCACATTCAAGCTGTTAGATATACACACATGCACACACTCACACACACACACACACAAACTCACACACAGAGACCCACACACAGATACATACACATACACACACAGAGAGAGACACACACACATACACACACACACACACACACAGAGACACACACACAGATACATATACATACACAGACAAAGATACACACACACAGAGACACACACATACACACACACAGACACAGACATATACACACACAAATACACATAGACACATACACATAGACACACACACACATACATACACACAGACACATACACACACACACATACACACACACACACACACAGACACACACACACAAACATACACACAGACACATACACACACACACATACACACACACACAGACACAGATACACATACACACAGATATACACACATACACACAGACACACACACAGAGACAGATACACACAGATACACACACAGGTACACACACAAACATACACAGAAACACACACACAGACACAGATATACACAGACACAGATACACACACACAGACACAGATACACACAGACACATACACACAGAGACACACACACAGAGACACACACATACATACACACACACACACACACACACACACACACACGGATACACACAAACACATACACACAGAGACACAGACACACAGACACACACAGAGACACACACACAATAAACAAATTTTTAAAAGCTTAGAAAGAGTCCCTTTTAACTGAATGAGTTCTTCTATTCCACTCACATAGATAGTCTCATTTACATCTTTGGTGCCTAGTGTGAGATGCATTCAAGTCACACGTGCTCCTCATTGCTGCGTGACTTGCCGTTTAGGAAAGGGGTGCGGCTTATGCCATCGTGGAATGCACTCTTCCTCTGACTCAGGAAGCCAGCACCACCATGTATTGGTATTTGCATTCAGCATTTATTAGTCAGCCGCTGGCCTCATCATTCTTGAAATGCAAACACTTATGAGAGCCCTAGAGTCTGTTGCAAGTTTTTATTGGTGTCCACTTGTTTGAACTTCCCCATTGCTCTGCACTATAAAGACTCCGATGGCCATTCTCCTGGGGAGGCTTGTGAATAGGGCTTGGGAGAGATTACATTTTACTTATCACAACTGGTAGGGACAGAACTAGTAGCCAGCCTGGCGGCTCACATCTGCTATCCCAGCACTTGGGAAACAAAGGCAAGATCAGGAATCCAAAGTCTGGCTTCACCTGCATAAGGAGTTGGTGGCTAGCCTGGGCTACATGAGACTCTGCCTCAAAAAAAGATGGAGGGGGAGACAGAGAAGAAGAGATAGAGGAAGAAGGAGAGAGAGGAAGAAGAGAGGGAGAAGAAAAAGAGAGAGTAGCTGGGCGGTAGTGGCAAATGTCTTTAATCCCAGCACTTGGGAGGCAGAGGCAGGCGGATCTCTGTGAGTTCGAGGCCAGCCTGGTCTCCGGAGTGAGTGCCAGGATAGGCTCCAAAGCTACACAGAGAAACCCTGCATAAATAAAAAAAGGGGGGGAGGAGTTGGGGCGGGGGAAAGAGTACACGAGCTCACTTGTCCCCAGTGTTTCCAGTCCCATCACAGCCCCTCTTACACTGCATTTGATTAAAATTTTACAGCTCACAAAGCACTTTCACACAAGCCATGTCCCTTGATCCTCTTAACAGTCCTGTGCTTGGCAAAGCAGGACAAAATTCTTTCCTAAAAATGTTTATGCCCTCTCTTTGAGAAGAGATATACACACAAGAGGGAAGATACTGGTACTGAGTAGTAATAGAAACAGGCCAAAAGCAATTACCCAAGTGTGTACAGATGCAGGGTTGAACTGTAGATGGCCGCATGAAATCTATTACAAAGTAAGAGTCCGGACTTGAGATCAAGGGAAGAAAAGGGTCAGAGTCGCCTAGGCGGGGCCCATGGGCCATGGAAAGACAAATTCGCCGTGGAAAGACTTGTTCTCCGTGGACAAATGTGTTCATTGGCCCAGCACCATGTGAAGAATGTGGGTGGCAACTTAGCTTGACAGCAAAAGAGGGCAGTACTCAGACACACAGAAAGGCGAGGATGCTAAAGGAGGGAGTTTCAAGGGGGGGCACAAAATCTTGTGCAAATAAAATGCCAGAGACCATTGGAATATTAGAATTCAGGCAAAATGGCACCATCTGTAATCCCTGAACTTGGGGGAACCAGGCAGCAGGATCATGTGAACTCAACTCTAGCCTGGGCTACACAGTAAAACCTTATTTCTCCCCTCCCTCCCCCAAAAAATTAGACGTGGAAACAAAGTGTGGCGAGGTTTTGCTGGAACGAGATCAGGACTGCTTCATGGCCTGGGGAGATGACTCAGTTCATAAAGCTAAGGATCTATATTTGGGTCCCCAACACCTACATAAAAGGCCGTTTGTAGTCATGCATACCTGTAATTCCAGACAGGGGTGGAGATGGGCCCATCGTCAGGACTCACTGGCTAACCAGGGTAGCCAAATCCACGATACAAGCTCAGAGCTTGGTGAGAACCCCATTTCAAGAAATAAGATGGAGAGCAACTGAAGAAGACACTCCACACTGACCTTGGCTCTCCAAGCACACACACACACACACACACACACACACACACACACACACTACACACACACACACACACACATTGATGCACAATTGTACATATACATACATGCACAAGACTAGTGTGGTAATAGCCATGATATGTGTGGCCTACCGCACATGGTCATAGAAGCCATGACAGCTGGGAGAGAGTAGATCTAACCTAGAAAGGCTCATCCGCCCTGGACTTGGGCTAGAGGGGAGGAAAGAGAGGAAGACAGCAATGCTGGCTTCCACCTGCCGGGTCAGGTGACTGATACCGTCAGTTCTTTATTTCTGAATGGAAAGCCTTTTGCCCTGGGTTGGGCGTGAAAAGACTGAGATAAGGAAACAATGGCATGCAAAACTGGTGCTGGTTCGAGGAGTCGTGAAGGAGGAGGGTCTGGAGAAATGAGATGTGAGTCTGTGCCGTGTGGATGAGATGTCTGGGTTGTCTGTGCCGTGTGGATGAGATGTCCCCTGAGTTGTCTGTGTCGTGTGGATGAGATGTCTGAGTTGTCTGTGTCGTGTGGATGAGATGTCTGAGTTGTCTGTGTCGTGTGGATGAGATGTCTGAGTTGTCTGTGTCGTGTGGATGAGATGTCTGAGTTGTCTGTGTCGTGTGGATGAGATGTCTGAGTTGTCTGTGTCGTGTGGATGAGATGTCTGAATGATCATCATAATTCATTATTAAAAACCTGAATCTTGGGCTGGTTGTCTGTGTCGTGTGGATGAGATGTCTTGGTCTGTGTCCTGTGGATGAGATGTCCAGGTCGTCTGTGTCTTCCGTGTCTTCCGTGTCTTCCGTGTCGTGTGTCCCCAGTCTCTTCTGCCGCCTCTGCATCCTTGCTGCCCACTTGTCTGCTCATGGCCCATCCTCAGCAATCCACTGTGAAGAATCTGTGCTTAACGATTTGGCTGTTTTCTTGTGAAATTTCTGTATGTAGTGTAAAAAAGAAAAGAAAAGAAAAAGAAGGGGAAAAAATCGTTACAATCCAGTAAATACTATTCAGCCTGAAATAGTTTTTTAGAAGTTGTTTGGGATTTTTTTTTAAATTAATATTTATGCCTGGCGTTGGTGGTGCACGCCTTTAATCCCAGCACTCGGGAGACAGAGGCAGGTGGATCTCTGTGAGTTCGAGGCCAGCCTGGTCTACAGAGCGAGTGCCAGGACAGGCTCCAAAGCTACACAGAGAAACCCTGTCTCAAAAAACCAATAAATAAATAAATAATATTTATTATTTTTAACAAAACCTCAAGCTTTTACATTAAACATATCTAGTTACTATACTACTTATAAAGCTAACAAATTGATATTTGATCCATCTAATCATTTTAAACTGCATTTATTAATTTAATAATTTGGCTATTTTTTTTCAAACCTGCCGATTTTCTGATCCACAAATCTTCTCAAATTACAAATTAAATTCTCATTAAGCTAATAAGTTAGCTAGGCAGGGTGGCATGTGCCTATAATCCCCATACTCTGGAGCCTGAGGCAGGAGGATCACCGAAAATTAAAGGCTGTCGGTGGCTCCTTGAGACCCTGTTTCAACAATGCAAAACAAAATAAAGGGGCTGGTGAGATGACCCAGCAGGCAAGAGTGATGATTGTGTAAACCCCAGGACCCTCGTAAAAAGCCAGGCATGGCTGCCATCATCTGTAACCTCAGCACTGTGGAGTAGAGGCTTGCTTGCAAGTGCTGGGGCCAGCCCAGCTCTGGGGTCAAGGAGAGACCCCATCTCAAGATGATAAAACAGGACACTAGGTGGCCTCTAAACTCTAGTACATGGGCTAGCATAAACCCCCACATGCACGTATCACACACACACACACACACACACACACACACACACACACACACACAATAAATGTAATTTTTAAAAGTCTAATATTAAGATTAAATAAAACGTTACGGTTAATGAAAATTTATTGTGAAGATTAAAACCAGCCAACACGATTCCTCCAAGGAGGAATAAAACCTGGCTGTAGCCAAAGAATTGGACTTAGCGAAGCCCCTTCTCGGGCCATTTTGATGGTCAGAAGGCAGTTGTGCGGCTATGGCAGGAGTCGGGTGGCTTTGACACAGTGAGGAGAGTGTTTTGAGTTTGACCCGGCAGTCTGAGAGGGAGAACACCAAAGGTCGTGGAGAGGAAGAGGAGATGAGCTCTGAGGAGAAGGGAGTTGGTTGGACTCCAACCAACGGGAGGCAGTGCTGGGTCCCTGGTGCAACAGTGGTACCTGCTCATGAGGCTTTTTTTCTAGCTTCCATTCCCTGGCATCCAACGACGGCTAGTCAAAGCTAGGAGAGACTTGTTTGTGGCAAAGAATCGTCAAGCCTGTCTCCATCGACCTGGCATGAAGACTAGCTACAGTGACATTCGCTGCAGAGTGTTGGAAGCAACAGGAGACACGGGTGGGTCATTCTCAGAGAAACAGGGTCAGAACCTCAGGCTCAGGGTGTTCTGAGGAGGAAGAAGACCCAGAGGGGTCACGGGAAAGGTAGAACATGCCCTTAATCCTAGCAGTCTGGAGAATGAGCCAGGACAATTCCAGTGAGTTTGAAGCTAGCCTGGACTCTACAGGATCTGTCCTTCCTGGGATATAAAATAAGACGGCTTTTCAAGAGCCGAGGTTCACATTTCCTTCTTGCCTCCCATCCCCGTCCAATCACCCAATGGGCACCCCCCCCTGTTTGTGTTATGTTTTAAACCCAGGCTTTCTAACAGCAAACTACACATCCAGCCCCCAAGTTTGTTTCTTAAACTATGAGATCCACACTCGGTATCACAAAAGGAGCCAAAGGTCTGGCCTTGGCTATCAGGCTTTTTGCACTAACACAGCAGAGGATTAAAGAAAGGCCCCCCGAGGAGAAAAGGGGTAGGGAGGGATGTCTGGTTGGCCAGAGACATGGGCGGGGAGCCACAGGGGAGAAACCTTGGCAGGGAACAGCTAGGCTTTACTCCAAGAAGGGTACAGACAGACAAAGTCTTCTAATGTCACGATTCCAGCGGAGAGAAAGTTCCCTTCCTGACCGGGAGACAGAGGCATCCAAAGCTTCATCGCAATTCCACTGGCTGTGTCAGGAGGGCAGGCAACTCTTACCCTCCGCTCTGGTTCTCATTCATTTCGTGAGTCAACCAGTGTGCAGGGAAGAGGTGCTCTGGTGTCTCCTCTTCCCAGAGTGACAGCCCGAGTCAACTTCCTGTATTTTTTTTTCTCTAGAAATTACTCAACCCGAGTCTGTCACTAAGAAACTCATCTATTTGATATGCTAATGAAATCAATCAGGGTCTGCACCTGCCAGGTTGAGTGCCAGTCCCCGGACTGAGTACCCACCGAGGGAACATCTCAGGAGGTGGATGGCTCATCTCTCCAGTTATTTCCTGTGGCACGTAATCACAGGGCTGGATGGCCAGTAACCACAACTCACTCTGGGGGTTCAGAGGATTCTTGGAATGATAACATCCAAATTATATCTTCAAGGATGAGTAAGAGGTGGGCGGGATCTTCCCAGCACAGCCCAGGGCAGGAAGAAGCCGCACAGAGAGGTAGGGGGAAGAGAGGAGCCACCTCGTTTCCTTGTCTAGGCACCAAGCAGTTAGGGAAAGAGCCTTAGAGAAA